ATGTCTTAATTTGAAATGGACAAAAGACCTAGATACTTCACAAAGAAGATACATAATAGCCAATCAGCACAACAAATGAAAATCACAATGAGATACCCAGAAGAATGGCAAAAATTATTGACACTAGCAAATATTGGAGCTGTGGAGCACCTGGAACTCCCACACATTGCTGGTGGGAGTGTGAAATGCTACAAACGCTATGGAAAACTGTTTGGCAGTTTCTTAAAAAGTTAGAGTTTCAACCACACTGTGACCTTACAACTCTCCTCCTAGATATGTATCCTGGGTTAAATAAAAACCCATGGCCACACAAAGACCCACATACAGATGTTCACAGTGGCTTTTTCCATAGCATTCTCAAACTGTAAATAATTTAGATGTCCAATAATAGGAGAAAAGATAATCAAATTGTAGAATGTTCATACAAAGAATTATGACCAACAACGAAAAGGGTGTATCACTGATGAACATGATATAGATAAATAATATGCTGAAGGAAAGAAGACAGACACACACAAAAGTACATACTGAAAACTCAGTTCTGGAATAAGCTACACTAACTCATCAGTGATAGCAATCAGATCAGTGGTTGCCCCTGGAGCAGTGGGGTGGGGAGGAAGAGTGACTGGTAACTAGCACAAGGGAACTGCCTGGAGTTATAGGAGCTCTGTGTTTCCATGTGCATTTGTCAAACTGGTTGACCAGTACACTTAAGATCTGAACATCTTATGATACATTAACTATGCATCAATAAAAATAATTTCAAAATTACAACAAGAAAATAACAGGGTTTATGAGATAAGGCTAGGAAGAGATCACTAAAAAAGTATATGCAACATTGTAACCAGAGCACAAACAAACACAATTATTAAATTATTAGTATCTAGGAAGATAACTTGGATCACCAAGACATGCATCTTAAAAAGGCTAAAGGCTGCTCCACAGGATAGTGGAAACACATAAAAACAATAGAGTGGAAATGCTGGTGACACTCTAAATGGCACAGTGCTGGTAGGGTGCTAAGAAAATGCAGATGGAAGTGGAACTCTGAGGCAGCGGGGCTGCTAAAATGAACGCAGGAGGGGGTACAATCTGCCGCAAGCCAGAGCTCATCGAGGCTGGGGTGGCATTTCTCTGGGGAGGGAGGCCCAGGTGCAGGCGCTTGTTTGTAATTTTCTTAAAATAAAGCCAAAAGGGCCCCTGCTGCCTGTCAGCCGCCAAGCTGAGGACTTTTTCCTTTCCTGCTGAAGGTTATAGCTCTCTTCCTACCAATCCAGATCCTATTCCCAGGAAAATCGTAAATGAAACAATATAACTTCTATATTATACTAACGTGTCGTTACCCATTTGTCAGTCATGAATGAGGTAATTCATGTAACAGAAACATGCACGAGCCGATGAGACTGGACCAAGGATGGTCAAGCACTAGCTACTGTTTTGCATTTAGTGTGTTATTTATAAATTAACAACTACTGCATTTTCTGAAAGAGGACACTAAGGCTCGGAGAGGTAAACTGATTCGGCCAACTTTATCTAGTTTCTTTTTTGTAGACTTAGAATCAGAACATAGGTTTGTTTAATTTCAAATCTCATGATCTTAATCACGATACTATACTGCCTCCTATATTATCATCCATACCTGCATCTTTCATTTGGGAAAACTTAGGGCCCCACCCCATCAGGGCTGTTGAGCAAGCTACATTTGACTTTGGTTTTCTCCTTGGTCTTCACCTCAACACCTATCTTTGAGTGTCTCCATCATCTGAATCCCCCTTCCTCATCTCACTTCCCTCTTGAGTACTGACTGCTCAGGCCACGTGGCTCTCATCTTGCATTCATCCTCAAAGCTGTAAGGCTGTTATCTATCCCATACCTCACACCCTCCATGCTAAGAATAGCAAGCTAGAAGAGAGTTTCCAGTGAAAGCCTTCTCTACACCAGCAAGTTCATATACAGATACGATGTTCAAACAGGGAATTGTGATATACGGGAGATTCTCAGCCTCTCCCCCCAAGGAAATATTTATGGTTTCTAAAGGTAATTGCCTCATAGTCTATGAAGGCAGTGACTCAATGAAGATTTCATGTTAGATAGGGTCAAAAAGAGGATGAATAGTAAAGGAGTGGGTGTTTGGAGTAGATCCATTAGTTTACATTCTGTGAACATTATTTACTCTAATATGCTGGATGCACACCCCAGATTTAAGAGGCTTTTTTATTTCCTTTTTAGAGCAAACACCCATTTATACATCCAGTATCGCCTTTGTTAACAAGATACTTAGATACATATGAAGGTAAGAAGCAGAAGAAAGAAAATATATAAATAACCATTCAAGAAATTTAACAGTTCCAATGGCACATTTCGTGGAGGCAAGCTTGTACATTAGTAACCTCATAAACCAGTCCAGTCCTAGCAGCAACTGAAAACTTTAGCAATATTATTTATTCAACATTAAGCTCAGGATTTCTAATCAAATGTCATAAACAGTTTCCTAGTTCCAGCTTGTGAACTTTGTCATTGACCTGAACATTTGGACAAAACATCCCCACACATAATGAAACTTCCTTAGATGCAACAGAAAGCAATTGCCTTAAATAATTAATGCACTTATTAAGCTAACCAGAAAGTTTCAGAAGAACTAAGTGGATTTAAATAGTTCTATTTTCTGACTCAGAACTCAAACGTCTGACTCAGAATTCAAACAGCATGTGGTGGCGGTGGTCATGGTGGAAGGTGCAAGGATGTGTTTGTGTGATAACTGTTTCTATCTCATTGACATTTGTTCACAGTCTATCTGGAAAATCTTCTATACAGAACACTACAAAAAATATGTGCCACCTAAATTTCCCTCTTACTGAAAAGGTTGACTTTTAAGGGCATTACTAGAAGGATCTTCATAAGCAAATGGCTTAAGAGCAAAATCTTGATATGGATGCCTTCTCTGGGCAGCAAAAGATATAAACAAGTAAAGGAGTTCATAAAGCCAGGCAGATTCTGGGCAACTCAAGACAAAAAGGAGGCATCTACCCCACTTTATCCAGCCAGAAAAAATGCATGCACTCAACTTGGGGCAGCTTTCTTATTCTGTTTTTAATAATATTTGGACCAATTATTCCCCGAGGATAAAGTGGGAAGACAATAACAGGATCATGATATCAAGAATGTACATTTTGGGATAAATTACAAAAGTACTCTTCAAAGAAGGTTCTACAAGGAAGTCATGGAAGGTTGGGAGAGGAGATAAATTCTTAGTTTTATTAAACTATGGTGTGTAATATTGATTTAATCAAAAGATAAATATAACTGGACGAAAAGATTAGTCCTCTAAGCACAGTGCTATAAAAGCAAACATACTATAAACCAAATTTGGAATGCCTTATTATTCATGTCTCAATGTGAACACTTCTAATCACAAGGGAGCCTTGTCCAAGGCTCTCTGAGCAATCATAAAAATAACATATAGATTATGTAATTTAAAGCATGCCTTACATTGTCTGACAGAATGAAGTGAACTGATACTCAGTTACTGAAAACTAGCAAGTTAAAAATAATAATAAAATGTTGAATAATCACTGCTTTTTAGAACTAGCCAATTCCTTTAAACTCTTAAACAGCTTTCTGAGATAACAGTAGGAAGGGTACAATAAATCCCAAATAAACACAAGCCTGAAAATTTCCATCTCTAGCTTACCTTAAGCTTATATTTAGTTGTTTACTACCCAAACCAATAACTTTCTATAAAAAGAACATTTATGCTGCCAGAACAAGAAGCTGGCTGAACAAAAGCGGTTGTCTGATAAATGGTCAAACAAATAAGCTTTCTTTTTACCAAACTATATTTCTAGAATAAAATTAGCTTATAAATAATTCGACATCTCTAATTTGACAGCTGTCTTCTCACCTAAATCCTTAATAAACACTTACCCACTTTTAGGTGATACAGAAAAATGACAAATACTCTAATTTCTTAAAGAAAAATACATATGTAAAGAACATATTAAAATTCAAAAAGAATTTTCACATATATTTACTGTCTTGATACACGTTGAATTCATAAGTATTTTTCCCAACCCTAAAATTACTATGTAGAAGAAAATGGAGATCCAGGGCCCGTCCTATCATATGATGGGTACAAACTAGCTCATAAAATCAGGGTAGAATATGTAAACAGTTTGCAAGTTCTAATTATCCCACGCATACAAGATTTTTTCCTTGTTTACTTTTACAGATATTGAGAAGTTTTATTTAATTTTTAAAGAAATAACAGTCATGGACAAATCCAGCTTGTAATCAACAACCAAAAGGGAAAGTTAATGGTTAAATCCATCGACCTAGCCACTAGGCAAAGATCTCTGAAAGCCCACAATACTGCCTTCTGGAACCATTCCATTGTCCTAAATGCAGTAATAACACAGCAGCTATAATCTAGAAAAATAGCTGTACTTCTTTCACCCCACCTCACAGTGGACTGAACTGGGGACAAAACAAATATTTGCTACTCACTTTTCAGTTTTCTTGTCTTCTGCTCAAGTGTCTGGCAAGTGTTCACTAACTCAGTATTTATAGCCTGCAGAGTCCGTTGTTCCGAAATTGCTTCCTCTAATTTATGCAGCAAAGACTTAGCTTTTTCACTGGCACCGTGGGCTGCCCGATCTCGATCCTCAACCTGGATACGTACAACTAGTTAAGACTGGATCTTAGCAGGGTGGCCAGGAAAGAAAGCAACTGAGCGCTCACTCGTATTAGGCACACGAAACTGAAAATGTGCTTTCCTTCTCAGGGAAGTGATAAGCCTCTACTGCACTTCTGCAATTCTGTGTTTGCATGGCTTTGTGTGCCTGAGCTATTTCCACAGCGGTAAAAGTCCTGATATGTCAAGTTGCCTCTTTCTGCAAAGTTGCCTCTTTCATCAGCAGGCTGTTGACACCGCCTCTTTTACAACTCCCCCTTTACTTCCTCCGCTCACTGCTAGTCACCAGGGACTGCACTTCACAGTTCCTCTTTGTTTTTTTTTGTTCCTCCTCCATTTTTACTTCACGGTTTTGAGGACATCTGGGAAGACTTCCCCTGAATATAACGTAGTCAAAGTCCACGCTACCTGCTCCTCTGCGTCCTCCAGCCGTTGGCTGGCTTCTTGGGCCTTCTTCCTGAGATTGGCTTCCTGGTTGACAGCATCTTCCTGCAGTTGTTTAATGGCTTCTAGTTGTTTCTGCCTAGAGTTAAAAAAAAAAAAAGTCCAAACCACAAGCTGTCAGTGACATTTCAATTAAGACTCATCCCTGGGATGTTGTGACAAATTAAACTTAATATACTTCCTCAGAGATGAGAGGAAAAAGTGAAAGTATAAATGCTTCACAAATATAGAATTTTAATTAAAGCAATCATATAGATTACTCAGCCTGATACCCTCGCTTTACAGATAAGGACATTGAGTTTCCTATTACACGTTGGAATATTCAGTTTCCCACAAGCTACACTCATAGTACTTAGCATCGGTAGCCAATTGCTTAGAGGATGGTGCCACAATGAGGTCACTGTGACAGGTGCAGTGTTTACACATCACAGCTGGCTTTTTCAGAAAAAGAAAGGAAAGGAAAAGGGAGGGAGGGGAAAGAAAAAAGAGAAAAGAAAAGAAATAAGAGCTTTGTTTCACGATCTTAGTCTTTCTCCTTAAGAGTCGTCTCGCACGGTATAAGTATGTGCTATGAGCACGGGAAGGGCTACTCCCGAGCACAGACGAAAGCTGGCTGTTGGTATTTCCACTCCAGTCCTCTCTTTTCTGAAGCCTTTTCCCTCCCATTCTTCCTGACCCCCAATCTCCTACTGTTATGTTACCTTTTGGATCCAACCCTAATCCCCAAAATATATAAAAATGCATCTGCTCTCTGTTACCTGATGAGATTATCTAAACTATGCTATGTATCAATATAACAATGACTATCTGGAAACAACTTGACCTGAACAAGGACCTCAGCTCAAATGGATGATAAACTTGGGGAGTTTCAAAGCAGCGAGGAAGACGTTGTCAGGTTTAGGCCTTTTGTGTACTTCTCAAATGTTAACACATAGTCAGAATCCCATTGTACACTGGCACAAATTCAGCCTTTATTACAAGAAGGACCACATGAAAGAAAAGTTTGGTCTCATAGAATGCTTTACCATTATGGTAAACCAGCAAACAAAACCGTAAACAAAATGAAAACTACCTAAACACACATTCTACTGAGCATTGTTCAATAGCTTATAGTCAGCTTTTCCTTTTTTTAATTGTAATAAGAACATTTAACATGAGATCTACCCCCTTAACACATTTTTATGTGTACAATACAGTCTTGTTAACTATAGGCACAATGCTGTACAGCATATCTCTAGAACTTATTCATCTTGCATAACTAAAACTTTATGCTCATGCACAGCAACTCCTCATTTCCCCCTTCCCTAGGCCCTGGAAACCACCATTCCACTTTCTGCTTCTATGAGTTGACTATAGTTGTGCGTTGCTTAACAATGGGGATAGGTTCTGAGAAACACATCTTTAGGCAAGTTTGTCATTGTGCAGACATCACAGAGTGTACTTAAACAAATCTAGATAGTATAGCCTACTATATACACAGGCCCTATGGTACTAATCTTACGGGCTTACTGTCATATATGTGGATCTGTCATTGGCCAAAACATCATTACATGGCACATGGCTGTATTTTAGATACCTCATGTAAGTGGAATCATGCAGCATTTCTCTTTCTGTGACTGGTTTATTTCCCTTAGCATAATGTCCTCAAGATTCATCCATGTTGTCTCATGTGGCAAAATCTCTTTTTTTAAAAAAAAATTAAGCTTTTTAAAAAATCAATCTCCTTTTTTAAAAATTAGGAATAAAATAATATTCCATTGTATGTATATATCCTATTTTCTTTATTCATTCATCTATTGATGAACATTTAGGTTATTCCCACATTTGGCTATTGTGACTAATGCTGCAATGAACATGAGTGTGCAAATATGTCTTTGAGATTTTGCTTTGAATTCTTTTGGATATATACACAGAAGTGGAAATGCTGGATCACATGGTAGTTCTATTTTTAAGTTTTTGAGGAACCTCTATATTGTTTTCTATAGCAGTTTCACCATTTTACATTCCCACCAACAGTACACAAGGGTTTCAATTTCTCTACATCCTAGCCAACACTTGGTATCTTTTGGGTCTTTTTTTGATAACAGCCTTCCTAACAGGTGTGATTCATTCACCATTGTGAATGACTCATCGTGGTTTTTATTTGCATTTCCCTGATGATTGGTGATGTTGAACATCTTTTCATATATGCACTTGGCCAATTCTATGACTTCTTTGGAAAAATGTCTATTCAAGTCCTTTGCCCATTTTCAAATTAAGTTATTTGATTTTTTATTTTTGAGTTATAGAAGTTCCTCATATATTTTGAATATTAACCCCTTATCAGACATACAGTTTGCAAATATTTTCTCCCATTCCATAGGTTACCTTTACATTCTGTTAATTCCTTTGCTGTATAGAAGCTTTTTATCCTATGTAGACCCACTTGTCTATTTTTTTTTATTGTCTGTGCTTTTGATGTCATACTGGAGAAACCACTGCCAAGACCAATGTCATGAAGCCTTTCTCCCAAGTTTTCTTCTGAGTTTTACAGTTTTAGACCTTATGTTTAAGTCTTTAGTCCTTTCGGAGTTGATTTTTGTATACTGTGTACGATAAGGGTTCAACCTCATCCTTTTGCATGTGGATATCCAGTTTTCCCAACATCATTTGTTGAAAGGACTATCCTTTTCCCATCGTGTAGCCTTGGCATCCTAGTCAAAGATCAATTGACCATATGTGCATGGGTTTATTTCTGGGCATTCTATTCTATTCCCTTGGCCTATATGTGTGTCTTTAGGCCAGGACCACACCGTTTTAATTTTGAAATCAGAGAGGATGATACTTTGAGCTTTGTATTTCTTTCTCAAGATTGTTTTGGCTATTTAGGGTCCTTTGTGGATCCATATGAATATTAGGATTTTTTTCCTGTAAAAAATGCTGTTAGGATTTTCATAAAGATTGCTCTATAGATCACTTTGGATAGTATGGACATTTTAAATACTAAATCTTCCAATCCATGAACACAAGATAGTTTTTCACTTACTGTATTTTTTCAATTTCTTTCAGCAATCTTTTACAGTTTTCAGTGCGCAAGCCTTCACCTCCTTAAAGTTTATTCTTAAGTATTTTAATCATTTGGATGCTATTTTAAATGTGATTTTTTTCTCAGTTTCCAATAGTTCATTGTCAGTGAATAGAAATGCAACTGATTTTTGTATGCTGCAATTTTGCTGAACTTGTTTATTAGTTCTAACAGATTTTTATGGAGTCTTTCCATATATAAGATCATGTCATCTGCAAACAGATGATTTTACTTTTTCCTTTCCAATGTGGGTGCTTTTTATTTCTTTTTCTTGCCTAATTCCTCTAGTTAGGATTCCCAGTACTATGTTGCATAGAAGTGGTGAGAGCGGGCATCCTTACCTTGTTTCTGATCTTAGGGGAAAAGCTTTCAGTCTTTCACTATTGAGTATAACGTTAGCTATGGGCTTTTCAGAGACGGCCTTTATAATGTTGAGGTAGTTTCCTTCTATTTCTAGTTTTTAAAATATTTTTATCATGAAAGTGTATTGATTCTTGTCAAATGCTTTTCTGCATCAATTTAGATGATCATGTGATATTTATTCTTCATTCTGTTAACACAGTGTACCACATTAATTGATTTGTGTATGCTGAACTATCCTCACATCCCAGGGATAAATCTCACTTGGTCATGGTGTATGATCTTTGTGTTTTGGGTTTTTGTGTGTGGGTTTTTCTTGGTGAGGAAGATTGGCCCTGAGCTAATATCTGTGGCCAATTTTCTTCTTTTTGCTTGAGGAAGATTGTCACTGAGCTAACAGTTATGCCAATCTTCCTCTATTTTGTACGTGGGACGCCACCACCTCATGGCTTGATGAGCAGTGTGTAGGTCTGTGCCTGGGATCAGAGCATGCAAACCCCAGGCTGCCAAAGTGGAGAATGTGAACTTAACCACTGTGCCAGCGGGCCGGCCCCAGTGTATGATCTTTTTAATGTGCTGCTGAAATTGGCTTGCTAGTATTTTGTCGAGGATTTTTGCATCTATATTCACCAGGAATATTGGCCTGTAGTTTTCTTTTGTTCTAGTGTCCTTGGTTTTGGTGTCAGGATAATGCTGGCCTCATAAAATGAATTAAGAAGTGGTCCGTCTTCTTCAATTTTTTGAAAGAGTTTCAAAAGGATTGGTGTTAATCTTCTTTAAATGTTTGGTAGAATTCACAGTGAAGCAATCATGTCCTGGGCTTCTCTTCATTGGGAGGTTGTTGAATACTGTTTCAATCTTCTTACTGGTTATTTTTCTGTTCAGATTTTCTGTTTTTTCCTGATTCAGTCTTGGTAGGTTGCATGTTTCTAGGGATTTATCCATTTCTTCAAGGTTATCCAATTTGTTTGTGTTTAATTGTTCAGAGCAGTCTTTTATGATCAGTATTTTTCTGTGGTATTAGTTGTAATGTGTCCTCTTCCATTTTTTATTTTATTTATTTGAGTCTCCTCTTTTTCTTAATGTAGCTAAGGGTTTGTCAATTTTGTTAATCTTTTCAAAAAGCCAACTTAGTTTCACTGTTTCTTTAAAAAATTTTTAAAAATTGTTTTCTATTCTCTATCTTTTTCATTTCTGCTCTAATCTTTATTATTTCCTTCCTTATGCTGACTTTGGACTTTTAGTTTGTTCTTCTTTTTCTAGTTCCTTGAGGTGTAAAGTTAGGCTTGTTTTTTACTTATTTTTATTGAAGTATAGTTGACATACATTATATTAGTTTTAGGTGTACAACATAGTGATTCAACATTTATCTACATTACGAAATGACCACCACAGTAATTTTAGTAACAATCTGTCAAGACACAAAGTTATTACAATATTATTGACTATATTCCCTATGCTGTACATTATATCCCCATGACTTATTTATTTTATAACTATAAGTTTGTACCTCATAATCCCCTTCACCTATTGTGCCCATCCCCCACCCTAAGGTTAGGTTATTTGAGATTGTTATTCTTTTTAATATAGGCATTTATCACTGTTAACTTCCCTCTTGGTACTGTTTTTGCTGTATGCCATAGGTTTTGACATAT